CCGTCTCCTCCCTGCAGCCCGTCTGCCCCAGTCATGTCACTGCAGTCCTTGTCACCAGGGCAAACACCTCCAGGCTCAGCCAAGAGGAGGGGACATGGATTTCCCTTTTCTTCTCCCCTGGACTGGCACAGGCAGCCACCCCCATCCCCACAACACTGAACGAGGGCTCAGTCATCCCACAGATAACCAGCTGCAGCCCTCACTCCCGTTTCCCTTCACAGCAGCACACAGGCATGTGGGACAGTTCATCCCAGGAGCCCCTGCAACCCTCTTGTCACTTCGTCTTCTCTATTTCCTCCTCCTCCTCCTCTTCCATCTGTGCAGGGGTTGCATCTCTCCTCTTCCTCCCCCCCATCTGTACACTCTTCCCATTCTCCCGGTGCATCAATAGCGAGCTGTCTTTCTCCTCTCTTCCCCAGGGTAATGAGTACTCCCTCCCAGCTCTGACCCCTGGTCTCGATGAAGTCAAATCAAGTCTATCCACCTCTGCTAACCCAGACCTGGGGACAAATGTGTCAGGACCCCAGACGTACCCTGTGGTGACCGGTAAGCTGCCTGACCAAACAGCAGAACCAAGCTTTTTATTTATTTCCCTCATCACCATTAGCTTCTGCTTTTTCTGCTAATGCAAGATATCCCTCTGTGGCAAACACGGAAAGAGACAGAAAGACTGTGGAGGATGTAAGGGCTCAAGAGAAGCTCGATGTTCAGAGTATTGGCAGTTTCGGGTACACCCAGAGGTGTGACCCTAAGACAGACAAACCCATGCGTGCATCAGGAATTTGTATGCCCAGATGGGGCTTAGGGATGGATGTTGGTGGAGGACAGATATGCCCAAATAAGCACTGTGAATTTTTCCTTTGTGTCTGAGAACAAGAGGGTTGTGGCTTGCCCATGACCTGAACTTGGTTTGGAGAGAAATAATAATTTAAGTTTTATCCAGCACTGGCATTTGGAAGGGGCATTTGTAAACTAAATACTGAGGGCTGCTGAATGGTGACTGCTAAACTCCCTTTAGCCCATGAGTCTCTCATCCCACTTATACTCTAGGGGACGTTATAAATAAGGGGTATACAAATTACTTTTGCCAACAGCAGCTGGCAAAAAAAACTTGTTCACAGCCTTCCCCCCTTCCCTCATATGTGGGGACATTAAACTCAGGTGTGCCTGGGAGAGTAGGAAATGAGAGCAAGTGCATGACAGCAGAGGAATCAGGATACACAGAAGGAGAAAGCAATTTCTGCAGAAGCTGCTCGACAGAAGCCTCTCCACAGAAGCTTCCTCTGTGCTGGTGTCACATGCAAGACCTGGGCAGCACAGGGTTGTCCTGGGGCCATGGGGTGTGCCATCCTGCTACAGATGTTAGACTGCCTGCCCTGTGTATGTTTACAGCTGTGAGCAGACATTCTGGTGCCACAGCCCTTCTTCTCCAGCTTTAGTTGCCACTGGTCCCTGCTCACACAGCTACCACAGACTTGCACATCTCCTGGGAAGCTAAAGCAGCTGGCAAGGCCTGAGTGACTTGCCTCTGTTCGGTATATCCCCTTTTCCCTACAAAACATCATGTTGTACATTGACAAATAACTCATGACAAAGAGGTGTAACTTCTGTTAGCAAGGGAAGGAGCTGTTGCCTCTTGGCCAAAAAGGTGTTCTCTGACAGCAAAGAATCAAGAGCACTGGAGCTTGTATGTCAACTTTTTCTTGCAGAAGCCCCAGCTAATAGCCCCTCTGGTCAAAGCAGTTCATGGCCAAGACAGGCAGTCATTCATTGTTCAACTAACATTTAGCAAAGGCATATTGTTGCATGCAACTTTTAGCTACCAGGAACTTTGGGACCAAGCATCAGTAACAGTTACCCCAAATACAGAGAAGATCCAGTGTGTGGTCTGCAAAATATTGTGGAGAACCATGGGGAGGTGAACTGCATATTTAGGGAGTGTCCCGAAAGTGTGACATCCCCAGGCTTTTTTCATGGCTTCTCCTGCTATCAGACTTCATCCAGGATCCGTATAGCCACGCAGTTTCTTAGCCAACCAGAAAAAAATGACTCAGCTGTGGCAAAATTGTTCTACCTTCCTTTGTATTTGCATTTGCATGTGCAAGACAAAACTCAGCTGGTGTCCATCTACTACTTAGCAGGTCTGCATCTCTTAGAGGAAATACTTTATGGTCTATGGAGGGCAAAGCCAGTAGGAGAGCAGTACTGTCCTTCCTTCATGGCAGGTAGATCCCCATAGCTGGATGTGAAGGTGAGATGCCTAAAATCAGAGTTTAAGATTCAGAGGGGCATTAAAATAATTCTTTTTAGTCCTTCTGCCTAAGTGTAGATGGTGCATTCTGTTAATAATAGGAGCAGAATTCCTGAAGGCTTGGGACACTGCACACGCTTTGGACATGACTCATAAAGGGACAGCAGGAGACAGATTTGGCCTCACAGAAGAGGCTGTGGGCTGAGACAGAAAATTTTCTTCATGTCCCACCACCCTGTGCCTTCCCCACTCTGTTTCCTGCAACACCCCGAGCTCAGCTCAAGAACATCCCCATCTGATCCATCTGGATCCAAGAGTGAGAAAAGTTCATTTCAGACCCAGCTTGACATTCCCAGGTGGCAACTTAGCACTAACATCTCAATCTGTATGCGACATTTCAATCAGCGCAGAGTAACAAAAGCAGAACTATTAGTGCTGGGAGCTGTTCACTGGTGGTAATGATGGGGAAACTCAGAAACTGGAAATGGAAAGGGGAAAAAAACCCCTCAACGCCCTGAAAGGCACCAGGGGAAGAGGGGCAGAGATTTTTTTCCTCTACACTTAGGCCAGGATCCAATGTTTGGATTAATGGTGCCATTACCCAAGAAAGGACTTCAGATAATGCTCATTCTTAAAATGTTTTTGCTGGCAATTAAATGGTTGCAGTTATTGATCTTCATTGATCTGATGTCCTCAATTTGCATAATCTATTAAAGATGAATGATTCATGATATGTTTGCTGTGGGGCTGGGCAATGCTTTCAGGACCAGAGCGCTGAGGAATTCAGTGCTGCCTCCTAATCTACCCCAGCCAGGAAATTCAGGAAGAGGCTGGGAGCATGCAGATTTCTTTGCTATCACCCAGATCCCTCTCCCAAGAAGGGATATTGGAGTAATAGCTAGTACTGAATTGCTGGCTGCCGGTTTTGCTGCTCTAGTATCATTTTTGAAATGCCTCTTTGCTCTTGTCCCATGGCAGTCTGAGAACCCAGGTGATACCTGAAACAAATGTGAAACAAGTCATGCAGAGTACAAACTCCGTGTACAGCCACTTCAGGATGTAAATTTAGCCTCAGTCTAGAAGAAAGTCTTCCCAGATCAGTCTTCCCAGACAGAAAAAAAACCATCGCTAGCTCTTTCCAAACCAAAGCTATCTGGCACTGGATTCTTGCCCTCTCTGAAGCCTTCAGAGAATGTCCTCCCCTCTCTGGCTCATGACTAGCTTTCCTCAGCAAGCTCTTTCAGCTCACACCATTCTGAGAATACCTCCCTCCAAAAGCCATTAAAACCTCAACAATATGTAACTCCCTAAAATCTTGGAATGCAGTAAGATAGTTAAATACGGATGTTGCTGAAATCCCTTCATCTGTCTGTGAGCTTCCTAGAATCGATGAGCTAGAAATGCTGCAAAACAGGCAGGTTGCAGGAAGGCCTTCCTCAAAGTCCTGGGCATCTATTCAACACAGAGATAGCCCACACTTACATACAGCACAGCCTTGCCTAGTGCTGCCAATATCAAACACTGCCTTTCAGATGATTATTCTAATGCATCTTAGATGGTCTATTTATTACTCGCGCCTCCTAAAGCAAGTAAACAAAAACATTTGCTTATTATGGAGCAGACAGGTCATCCTTATTTCTCCCCATTAAGTGTCTGCAAAGAATTCCCATGAACAAGCTGACACTTAGGGGCTAGCTGGGCACTAGGCTGGGAAATACGCTCCTGCTGTGCTTCATATAGAACAATGTATAAATTTTCAACTTCCTTGTGAAGTATCAAAGAGAGAAAGCTCATAAGAGCTGCCTGAGAGCACCACCTCACTTCTTCCTTCTCACACAGGACCAGCTACATCTTACCTTGATGTTGCATGGCCATCATAGCTAGACTGGCATAAATCCTTTGCAGTTTCTTGGACAGAATCTTTGGACACCAATCAGATTTCCTAGAAGTAAAAATCCAAGCTTGAACATTCCAAGATAAGGTGACTACATGCAGATGAACACCAAGACAAGAACTCTGTTGTTCAGAGATGTTCTATGATTCTTCAATTATTTCTATGGAAGGCAAACGGCCCAGGCGTGAATATAAATCTGTACAGGGCTATGTAAACACAGAAAACCTCGATAGCTTTCTTTTTACTCAGAAGTTTCCACAGATCTTTGAGTTTGGAAGGTAGTCAGTAGCTAACACCCGAGAACCTTCAGATTTTGATGCTGGCAACAGGAGTACTCTAAAAGCACAAGGTTGTTCACAGAAGCTTTGAATCCTTTCAGAGCAAAGGTTAAGATCCTTCTATAAGCACTTTCAGAAGTCACTTATTTTGGGATAGGCATGCATGCAATAAGTGAGATGTCTTCAAAACAGGTTTTGAGTTCCAGGGATTTAGATTAAAAGTCTGGGAACAGAGACCTTTCCAACTCAATTATCTAGCCCAGGAGTTGCTCAACAGAGAGCAACTATGGGAAATAAAACACAATGGACTTTTAATGTATGGTTTGAAATTTGCTTATTAACAGACTACTAAAGGGGAGGATTTACCTACTACATGGATTGTAAAATTACAAAAAGGTAAAGAAAAACTTCCCTTAATTGAATCCTAGCACTTTTAACTAAACAGACCTTGTCTGCCAGCCTCCTACAGTAAGAGAGATATACAAAGAGAAGGTAAAAGACAAGCCCAAGAAAAACAGGGCAAACAAAGCACTTCAGGAACTTCCACTATTGACTGAAATGGGAGTAGGTGTCCCCTTCTCCTCCTGTGAGGAGGTTTCTGAGTGCTTCTGTGCTATGGTTAGCACCTATTAACAGGAATAGGTTACTTTTAAAATCACCAGCAGCCACCAAAACAGTTACCATGTACTGTATAGAAAATGTTTCCTTCCTTCTGGGAAACAAATTTTTCCCTAAAGCAACAAATATAATCCAGGGTTAGAAGTCTTGATGACAACTCACAATGCATCAAAAACAGGCATCAAGAAAGAACAAACCCCATCGATCTCACTTTCCCCCAGACATCCCCTTTCTGGCACGGGGTCAGAGTTTTTACAGTTTAAGTTAATTTCTTAAATTTATACATGAATGCATGCAAAACAAAAAAATAAGTCCAGAGTTACTGACGAAAAAGGCTACTTTACGTATGAAGGACATACAAAAATAGTACTTAAACAGCATCTGATTTCTATGAAAGTTGCAATGCTACGCACAGGGATATCACTAGCTCAAAACCTGGATCCAAAGTTTTTTTGAAATGATAAACAATCTTTGGAGAACTCCAGCCTCCTGCAAGGTGAAAAGA